ACCTAGCCCCCTGTCATTCTTTTGTGCCAAGGTAATTCAGATGCAATGGATGAAGAGCAGATTAGGCTGAGATCCACTGATCATAAGTTTCTGTTGGATTTATAGCACCAGATGGCTTAATTATTCTCAACAGTTCTTAGTCTCTGTCTGTAAGGAAGACCAGATGCAATTTCTACCTTCTGGTGAAATAGATTCCTAAGACTGAATACAAGAAATAAAATATAAAGCATAGTCCTGCCAGGTGTGGCTCATTTGGTTGAGTGCCTTCCCAGGCACCCAGAGGTCACAAGTCCATTCAGGTCAGGGCACATACTGGTGTACCAGGCTTGATCCCTAATAGGGAGTATACAGGAGGCAACCTATAGGTCTCTCACTCTCTCTCTCTTTTTCTCTCTCTCTCTTTCATCTTTTTCCCTCCATCTTCCTTCCTCTTTCTCTCTAAAATCAATAAAAAACATATAAAACATAGACCAAATAAGTGAGTAAGAAGTTAGAAGCAATGAGTCAATGTACCTAATCAAAGGTACCTGGGTTCATCGCCTCCCTAGTGCATGAGAGCTAGTTTCCAGTGATGGAATGAAAAGAAAATATCTAAATCCTAATCGCTAAGGAATAAATTATTTATAAGTAATATAATTTTCTCTTTCCACTGACAGTTTACAATTTCAGAGCAAAACCTGTGCTATGACATCCAGACATCGCGCTTGGTAATATGAAAAAAAGACAGGGTCATATTTTGAGGTCCTACATTTTTTGTCAGCAATAGACTGGTCTCTGAAACTATATATATATAACCTGAAAGTTACATGATTGCAAAAAATGTTACCAATTCAAAAATAAATATTAATATTGATTTAAAGCTAGTAGGAATCTGTGAAGACCCATGTAAAATGTTGCAAATGAGGGGTTTTAGTATTAAGAAGAATTTGCCAAAATTTTCCAGTTAATTTAGTTATATTTTAGGTATATTCTTAAGTCAGTTCCATAACAACAATGCACCCAGAATAACAATAAATGTCCATTTATAAGACAAAGCCAAGGATTCTCTATAGCCTACAGGAGCTCGAAAGCAGAAGAGATTGATATAAGTACTGTAAAATGAATAAAGTGAGAGCAAACAGACTTAAGCAAAATACTCAGGAGTTCCACATGCCAATGTATTGCCAACCTTTTCCAATAATGTTTCTCGCCACCTGCAATGAATTCGGGAGATATCAACATTCTCAGAGAATGTGAAGGAATAAGATAATACAAGCCAAGGCGCTGCCCCTCAGGTTGCAAGGCTGGCTCATTCATAAATAGCTTCCCTTCTGTTAAGGTAGTTCTAGTGCAAAGCAGCATTCTAACCCCGGGGAGTCCTGCCACAGGCATTCTAAGAGGGAATGAAGATTTCTTTTCCAAATTAAGTTGTCAAGGAGCTCATTTACACTACACAGTGAGTGTATGTGGGCCAGCTGATGAAGATGATGATTTATGAGGCCACAGCCCCTGATTCTGGTGATGGAAATCCACAGCAAAATCCACTTAGGAAAATAAAGCAGAGCTCCTGTTATCCATGGGAGGTAAAAATCACGTGGCTTCTGCCCTTAAATTTCAAGTAACCCTACTGGGTTTGGGAATGGAAGGAAAGCTCATTTACTTAGAATTCGGGTTTTGGTATAATGTTATTATACAGACTCACACACATGCCATTTATTAAACAGTTTGTGTTCATTGAATCTGTCTTAAATGATTTTGACAAGACTTTTTTTGTGGGGGGGCAGTATTTGTTTATTTTGAAGGTATGGATGAGGATTGGATCTGAACAAATAGATCATGGATAGCTATGTCACATTAACATTTAAAACATCTAAATATGGGCAAATTGTAATGCTCTACCTGCACAAGCAAGAAATATAGTATTTTGGTGAAATATATCTGCAAAAATGTATTAAAAGGCTGGGAAAATATGTAAACAGACTTGTTTAATGAATGTGGCCACCATCAGTTACATTCTTCAGAGCATCAGTTAAAAAAAATTTTTAAGCTCGAAAACTGTTAAATGATAAAACCGAGTTTCCAAAATGGAAATTGTATTTTAACTTATTTCCTGTATTTGCTGTGCTTGCTCCTTAAATGCCAAGAAAATCAATTTTAAGAGTCTTGTGAGAATTTATAGGCTTTGATCTTAAAATGTAAAATATGTTTGCAATATCCCATTTTAGTATCAAAGTGTGAGTCCCAATGACAATTAAACAGCTACATAAACAAGGCAAAGGGCAAAAAGTCATTGTAGTTCTATGGTTAATGTAGTTTTACGTTTTGTACATGTGTTTTTTACAGGTGACTCAGTAAAACCTATAGAGTGATTCAGTGTAACCTGCCTCTGTGAATTCCATCATGTGTTGGCACTGTCTTAAATGTAACAGAGCATTTTATTCATGTGCATCTATGCATTAGGTTATTATATACGTCCTATGCTGTAGAAAACATAAACACTATTTACTCACAGCTACATTATCTTATGTCATGTTTATTTCCTTGTAAAAGATAGAAAAATTATGGGGACATACATCGATGGGACACTCTGCTCCTTCTGATATAGGTGGTGTATTGGAGCAACCCATAAACAGTGATAAACAGTGATTTATCAAATTTTCCTCTCACATATTTCTAGAGTCCAGGAGAATGTGGCCAATCTATGTATTTTATTTTATGTCTCTATGATAAAAACCACATGTTCAGGTGTTTGCAGGCAAACAATATATATGGAATAGTTACTATGTATGTGACTTGATATCAATCAGTTCCCTTGATAAGATATCAAGGAAATAGTACAAATATTACAAATAAATGTAAGGATACAGCAGAGTTTTCAGTTTGTTTTGTATATCTTTTTAACTTTTCTGATGCTTGATATGATTAGATTTAGCTTAAACATTTTTTTCCAAACAAGTAAATATGTAATCTATACAGGGTTCCATGAGTTTTCAGGCCAATATTCAATAGGCTTTTATAACTTTTGCTCTTAGCAGTCATAATAAGCACAATTTTTAAAATGTAAATGATTTCATTATACATGAGCATATAAATAAAAAATATTAGGATGCAAAAAACAAACAAACAAAAACCCCTCAGCAGTTACAATGGTAAACACAGTTTCTCAGGACCTACATAGTTGAATCATCAGGGATGTGTTTCAAATTAGAATATATTTTGTTAAAAAATTGTATTTTTTTTAAAAAAAGCATTTATAGTTAGTAGGGTTAACCTTTACCAACTAGACCAACTTACTATCATAATGCAAAAAAAAATTGATAATTCACTATTTACCTGTGCTAAAAATGCTATAGCTGTATATTTTTATAAAATATTGGCATTACCTACTAGAACAGAAAGGTGGGCTTGAGCCACAAAAGATAGTCAAATAACATAACTGAGTTCATGTGAAAAATGTATAGATTTGCATATGTTCATATTACCATTCATAAAAATCAGATGATACTTCAATATAACACCACAGTGTTACCACACTCTTTGAAAAAATGGAAATTCACATAAAAATGTCCTCCTGTCAGATATGCTAAATATTTTTCATCAACTGCATGTTGAAAAGTCAGACTTTCCAGAAACACCCTCCACACCATTGGTACCGCCTGTCATCAAGGTGCCTGACAGTCCTCAGGTCTCAGTGTGGTCCTTACAATAGTCTGGTAAGCTGGGGGGAGGGGGGTCACAGGGGTCATGGTCCTCGTGCCAAAGGTGGGGAAACTGAGGCTCAGAGATGGGGCTGCTCAAATTGGGCAGCAAATATCACACCTGCCTCTTTTTACTAATTGAAGGAAAATCAATTTCAAAGTTTGCTCTGACCTATATATTTTTGTAGACCACACACAGGAGCTTCATCACAGGACCCGGGCAGACGTGACAGTGAGTTATAACAACTGCAGAAACACCAGTGTCACCACTTCTTCCTAATGTAGTCTTTGGCATCAGCTCAAAAAAAAAAAGAGTGTAATAAACAGAATGAAGCATTTTACCTAACAAAATAAACTCCTGAAATATACTTATTTTTAGATCAGTCAATTTAATAACTTATTTATTAGACAGTATAACCAAATAACAGCCTCTATGTAATAAAGTTGTAAATACAAAGAAATGCGTGTATTCCATACTTGTAAGCAATAAAAATAACAAGTACTCATATATCTTTCACTCTCTGAAGTGCTGTATTATCTTCTAATGAGGTTTGCTGTTTGTTTTAAATTGAACAGAAGGTTAAGGAAATGAGAGAAAGAGGACTAAATAACTAAGGGCAATAAAATACAGAGAAAATATATTAGCCAGCATCCTGCTGTTTATGTTATCAGCATTCATAAACAATGCTTTTGCTCAGAAGTATCTCTAGTGATCACAGAGCCAAAACACCCCAAGTGTCTTTGGGTTGATGTTTCCTGATATTTCCCCCATCTTCACAAAATGTAACAGCATTTTAATTCAAATTAAATTTATTCTGCACCCTATCATGCTCTTCACGTAAGGCCAGTGAAACTCAGACCCTTACTCAAACTATAGTTTTTCATTTATATAGTCCCCACTGCATCTCTTTTTGGAAAATGAAAGCCAATGCCGTTCCAATCTCTCACATGCCTTAGAAACAACTGACTCTCTCTTCAAATGTCAGTTTCTTTTAATCACTGGTTTCCGATTGGAACAGGGACCACATCAATGATTACATGTGACAAAAGCAGACTCCTATCCACAACACCTTTTGAATGCTGTCTTTTTAATGTATCTCTTCAAAAATTGTCCTGTGTGAAAGATATTATGTACTAATTAAAATGTATTTTATGTGTAAATTCTATCTGACCCATTACTACATCTGTGTGTGTGTGTGTGTGTGTGTGTGTGTGTGTTTAAACAGGCAGGGTATGGATTTACCTTTGGCAAGTCCCCGACCCTTGGCTGATACTTACACACAATTTGGGAGTTGGGGGACAATGGGAAGGGAGAAGAGCAAGCCAGACATCAAACCCATTTATTCTGAATCTTAAATTGTGACTTCTTTATCATCAATATTTTGGTTACATTGTTACACAAAGGACAAATTAACATCCGGTTTGAGGTCTCTTCTTTGACTGCTTTGGGATTAGTGACATCTCCTTGGCATAGGAATTCTGTACTCATCAACGCTCAGCTGGATTTTAATAATATTGTTATACAAGGTGCCAAAACAGGAAGGATTTGAGAAACCGCTCCTAGGGTGCCTCTGCCAATAGCTTTAACCACTGGGACTCCAGCCTGGCTTCCTGCCAGTGCACGCAGGGGGCAGGGGAGTGTCCACACCCCTCTTTCCTGGGCAGATCAGAAGGGGATCCCTGGAGAGTGGCTGGTCCTGCTGCCTTTGAAGCACCTGGTCCCAGGTGTGCTCACGCAGAGTGAATCCCAGTAAGTGAAACATGCTGCTGCAAAGACCCAGGTCACTCCACAGAGAAGCCATATACTCGGGAGACTCGGTCACACAGCACCTGCTCTCATCTTACATGATCCAGGCCACCCAGGAACGCCAGGTTCTTAAAGTACTCTGAAGCGTTAAAAAAATATCCTGATTGTTCATTCTCATGGTGCATCTGAGAGAATCTCTTTAAAAGAATCCAAGGAATTGTCCATTTGTCATTTTCACTTTGATATACAGGTACCTTTTGTTTGGTTGGGTCTCATCCAGGAATTCAACATACATTTCTCTCTGTCAGCCCAGCATGAAGAAGAAAAGCAGGGGTGAGGAGGGAGAGCCGAGCGTAGAAAGCAACGTAAAGCTCTTCGAGGACACACACACACACACACACACACACACACACACACACACAGTACAGAACAAAAGTCCAGTCCGATCGTGCAAAACTCGCATCTCCAGATAAAGCACTTCCGACAGGATCACAATGCCCCTTCCCCTCCCCAGTCCTCCCATTCTCCCAGCGAAACACACAGAATGAAAGCCAAGCCATCCTTTTTCTTAAGGCTGAACAGACACACAGAGAACACATTTCACGGACTGGCCAGTGGGCGGTGACCTGCAGGGCTCTTGCTTTGAGTGCAGCCAGCCCCCTGCCATCCATCCTGAGGTCTGGGCACTCCTCACTCCGGACAACAATACAGCGTCCATACAAAAGAAGAAATCGCAGAGGTCCCAACAGTAAAATCCCAGATCGACGTTACAATCACAGGTACAAATTGCTCAGGTCCATAGTGTCATTTCTCCTGAAGACCTTATCGTCTAAAACTAATTAGAGGCCAGGTTCCCGAGGAATGGTCAATAGTCAAAGAAAACACTGGAGATTTGGAAGGAAATCATTCTTCTACCGCGACAGTCAGACGGAGCTTGGAAACAAGTTGTCCTGTTCTGCCAAGTTCAGGGGGTTAGGGAGGGTGGATTCCTGGGTCCAGATTACAACTTCCCCGCCACCCCAGGCTCGGCGTTTATAGGGGAAACACCAAGAAGCCGGAGAAGGTGGAGTACTTCCAGCCTCCCATGAGGTTGCCCCGCTCAAGTTTGAGGTGCACCTTGTCCTCCCGCTCCATCAGCAGCAGGACCCCATTGCTGGCTGCTTCTCTGGTCACGTCCTGGTCTCCTGCAAATGCTGAGATCACTGGATAGCCGTTCTGCATTAAACTGACCTACAATGCAGAGGGTAGAGCTCAGCAGGCCATGCGGGGTCCACTGTTCTCACACACCAGTCCTCTCCTTCCCCCAGCCCTTCCTCCACCCTTTCCATGGAGCCCTACTTCCCCAGGGACCTGACCCAGAGGACTCAGCTGGCTCCCAGTCCCTCCCCCTGCCTCACAGAGGGGCTGATAGGGTCTGCAGTAATGGGGAATGGTAACCCAAAGTTCAAAGGGTCCCGTTTCTGAAGCTACCCACCTGGATGGTCTGTCTGTTGTACACTTTGACCACGTGGAAGCTGAAGCTATAAATCCCTTTTCTTGGAGCTACAAATATACTGGAGGCAAGATCGAAATGGTTGCCAATATTTACTAACACCTGAAAAAGAAGAGGAACACACAGAGACATAGCAAGCCCCTCCTTGGCACACAGGGTGAGCAGACTGGCACAGCAGTGACCCAGGTCCACTATGGGCTGCTCAGGCTGCCCACCCATGGGGGAGGCACTGCTGGAGTTAAAATTTCCCACAGTGGGAAGTGATTTCCAAGGTATTTCAAGGGATAGCGATGCACAAAGATGTTTCAAACTATATTCATTTATGAGTTGAAAAAGTGGGTGCTAATTTTGTGCATTGGGGGCAGAACAGAGAGAAAGGAAGGAAGACAATGAGGTCAGTAAACAACCGGATGTTAAGTCTGTTCTGAGGCTTGTGGAATGATGGGACTTCAGCATGGAGCTTTGACAAAAATCAGCGGGCCACACTGAGTGGGTAGAGAACGAGCTACGGGGCAAGAAGCCAGTTAAGTGAGATCAGTTCCCTCTGATGAAGCTTCCCACCTAACTTCCTGTATGTGCTCCAGGGCAGAACAGACTGTGTCAGGTCCTGGTCTCTGTGTTCCTGCAGCCCCGGCACATGCCCTGGCGACACACAGTAGGTGCTCAATAATGGCTGCTGAGTGCAAGATCTCAGTCCATAAACATCTGTGGTGCCTGCTACCCTCATTTTCCTCTGAGAGATGTTTGCTTCCTTGGATGAGCTATGATGTCATGCAATGTGCTTGAATAAATAGCAGGAGAGTCCACACAGCAGCTTGGACACCCTAGGCTCAATCCCGGGAATTCCATCAGGTGCAAGAATAATGACTTATCTAGCCATGGGATACGAGCTCACTTTGCCCTGCAAGTGGGTTTCCTCAGATCAGAGGGGATGGGAGCATGACATCATAAGTAGAACCTGAAGACCAGAGGGCCCCCCATCACAACCCAAATCTTTTTTAGAAGCTGAAGACAGAATTTGGCCACTCTGCCTGGATCCCGTCCCCACTCCTACTCACACACAAATGCACAACTCGATTAAGATACTAGAATGGCTTGCCTGGTGTTCTCAGCTTCTAAGACAAACATCCAGCAACAACAACACAGGCCTGGATGAAAGAGCCTGTCATCTGTTCAGAAAATAAATGTCAACTGAATACGTTTTGCGGTGATTTCTTAGGCACTCATTATAGATGAATAACAAGCAATTCCCAGAGCCATGTCAACTGCTGCTCAACCACAGCTGCAGGATGGTTCGGAAGGCAGCCCGCACCGGAGCTGGGGGCACCACCTCCGCCCCCCTAGTCGGTGGGGTTCATATAGACACGCGGGCTCTATGCTTAGAGGTGGTGTGCCCTACTGTTCTGTGCCTCCCCAAGGCTATGCTCTCAGTGGGTAGTATGATGTTTTCACGAAGAATCAAGCATTCTCCACTCAAGCCCTTGGAGCTGCTTCTTCCAACTCTTTATCTCAACTCTTTCACTTCAATTTTAAATTCAGGAAACTGGCAGATTCGGAGCCCTGCTGTAGAGGAAAGGTCTCCCACCAGCTCAGAAAAGCAGGCTGTTTCTCCCTAACCTGGAACCAGTGGCGCACCATCCAGCCTGCCCTGCTACAGGTTCCTCATCCATAAAATGAGAACCCTGCTGCCCCTTACCCTGCCCCACATCACCGTTTTCTTGACCCAAATGAACGATGGACGTAAAAAGGTGGTGAAACTATTTGTAGGACATGGGAAGGTAAATTATAGTAACTCATAACGGAGGACTTATTAATCCAGTAAATAGTTACCTATTTCTTATTGTCTCCTTTCTTTGAACATAAAGTAAATATTGTTATGTCCTATAAATAAAAACAGATTAAAGGCAGACTCCCTCCCATCACCACCCCCAAATCCCACAAAACTTCATGAATGTACAGACTCCCTAACAACAAGGAAAACAAATGAACACACTGGCCTAAAATGAGTCAAGGGTGTGTGTGCAGGTTTATCGATACTCAGGAGTGAGAGTGGGTTTATGCAGAGGGGAGGTCTCAGTGTGGACAGCTGAAGAGGGTTCCATTTGTGGAAGGCTTAGGTTCCTAAGGAATGGACTGATGCGTTCAAGTTTGGAAAGCACTATTATGTTTCAATTTGTTTCTGAAAAACAACAGAACCAAGGGGGGAGGGATCCAAGAGGAAGGTCGTGACCTCTAATCCTGAGCAGCCACACCAGAGAGGGGGTTGTCAAGGTAGGATCCTATTCATAACCCTTTGGCTTTGGCCCCAGTGGGAAAAGTTAAGTGGATTAGGGCAACAGAAGTCATCGATCCTTTTTTATTATTATTATTCCCATAACCACACTGCATATTCATATCGTGTATATATTGTATTTGTAGATTGTCTTATATATTGTTTTCACTACACATTGCAGTTATATAAGAAGCTATTTCGTTTTGTATTTATATAACCATCCTGCTATTTCCCTCACACACTTGCTCACTTATTTTTCTTGAAGATAAATATCCTCTTCCCAGTCCTTTCCAAAATAAGCAATAGGCACCTCTTTTCTGAGCGTCTGGGCCTCGGGAGGACCCTCCTTGAGCGTGGAGAGTTTAAAATGCTCAGTCCCTGTGTTGGCCACCTGGGTGACCAAGGCCCATCTACCACAAATGACAGCCCCCACCCGGGTGAAAAGTAAACCATGCAGTTCCCTTTTGGGAAATAGCTTTCTGATCTCTTAGCTTGATGGGGTTCTCAGTCACCAAAGTGCCACCTGAGCAGACAGGTACAAGGAAGCTATAACTCGATAAGGAGGGAATGTCAAGGAGAGCAGTCTAGAAACAGGAGAGAGAAGGGAGAGGCGCAGGGCAGGGCAGGGCAGAGGAGGGAAGAACCTGGAACTGCAGGTCCAGGACGGGGGAAGCCCCAGCCCCAGCGCCCAGGCTCCCGCTCTGTTCTCCAGGGCAAGAGGCACCGTGCGCCAACCGGCCGGCTGACCTGGTCGAAGTAGATGGTCATGGTGCGGTTGCTCATCTCCGACGGCTCGTGGTTGGTGCTCCGAGTGGCGGAGAAGGCCACTTTGGCGCTGCCAGAGCGCACGGAGATGCCAAGGGAGGAGGTGACAGCACCGTCCGCCGATGGGCTGGAGTCGCACACCACCAGGCACTTGCCCTCCAGCACGATGGGCTCCGTGTCGTTCTGCGCCCGCACCGGGCAGCCGGCGGGCAGCAGCAGCAGCAGCAGGGCCAGCGCCGCCCCGAGGCAGGAGCCGCAGCCCGTCGGCTCGCGCAGCGCCCCCCGGAGCCCGGGCATGGTCAGCGGCGGCCTGCGGGGGCCCTGGCCAGGCGCCGGCATCCGGGCTAGGGGGGGCGGCGCGCTTGGGACAGCGGCAGAGGCGGTAGGAGCGCGGGCGGTCGAGCAACGTGCGGGGCAAGGGATAGCCTCCTCTGGCCTGGGTCCCCTGCTCTGATGGTTAAGGCCAGGATCGTCCTCACAAGAAAAGCGCCAGCGGACCTGTCAGGGCAAAGAACCCACACCCTTAGACGGAGGTGAAGCAGTTTGGGAGGGGGCACGGGGAGCAGGTGGCTGAGGCGCTTGGGCCCCTTGCTGGAGGCCACCCTCTTGCTCCCGCGCACAGCCACCCCCCTCCCGCACAACAGGTCCCGAGAAACGCGCGGCGCCCTGGGCAGGGCATCCCTGAAGGCTCCGGGGTGGCGCGCGCCAGAGGTGCAGTCAGGTCAGGGGCCCGCGATTCTGCACGGTCTCAGCACTAAGACAGGATCGGGCCCCCTCGGGGACTCCGTCAGCGCCACCCCACACCCCCTCTAGCCTAAGGCGGAGGGGAGCTCAGGACGCGGCAAAGGAAAACCCACTCATGCTGTATCGCCTTCATTTCAGTGGCATTTTCCTCAACACACTACGAACCCTTTCCCCTTTCTCTGCTTTCCCTTTCGTCCTGTCTTTTCCCATCCTGGACATTTTTTTAAAGCAGTCCATCCAAAGACCAAACCTCCAGGAATCCTTGGGATGAATTAGAGAAAAAGAAAAAAGAGACTCTAAAAGCAGACACCCACTTCCACGGCGTCCCCTCAGCCAGCAGCGAGCGCCTTTGGAGAGTCCCTGGGATCCCTCTGGCACAGGCGAGGATGCCGGCGCCCTGAGCCCTGAGCCCGGAGCTGGCCTGATGGTGCAGCTTTTGTTTCCAGACTCCGGGCTCCCGTTTGCCGAGCTGGGAGGCGGCCCCGAGACTCTCTGCTAACTTAACCCCTTTCTCCGGCCCCCTCTGCTCCCCCTAAACCAGACAGGTCATTTCCACACCCAGCCCAGAAACAAAAAAGCCGGAAGCCTCTCCCCGCGCCGCCCACGGCCTCTGAACAACTCCTCCAATAGTCTAAGAAGAGAGAAGTTGTTTCTCCATGAGTAGCCTCTGTCCTCAGCCCCAGACAAAATCATGTCCTTCTTCTCGGTCGCTTCTCCCGACGCCCGGACGCAGACTCGCGATGGTCCCCGTTGAAATACACGCATGAATGCAGTTAACGCGCGGATCGCGGAGCGCAGGGCTGGGTTGGTTACCTGGAACATCCATGACGAGCGAGCACCGCCGTCAGCCAAGTTCTGCTTAAAGAGGGTGAGCGGAGCTGGCGGGAGGAGACACCGGGCGCAATCCGCTCCCCGCGCCTGGCCAATGCAGCTCCGCCCCGCCCTGCCCCTCTGCCTCGCCGGCCCGCGCCTGCTCCCGGCGCACTGCACCGGTCCTTGCCCCTGACCCGCACGCCCCGCGCCCCAAACCGGACAGCACCCCACTCCGCGCTCTGCACCTCTTACGCCCTCGCTTCGCACTGGTGCGCTACGCGCACCGCAACGCACCCGGCCGGCACGCGTTCCGCACCGGGTCCGCACCGGGTCTGCACCGGGTCTGCACCGCTCCTGCGCCCGCTGCGCGTCTCTCTCCTCCCACCCCAGCCCCACAGCCCCAGCCTTCCCCGGTCTCCAGGCGGCTCAGCCAAACGCCACGAGGTCTCCGAGCACTCAAGGCGCCCTCCGGGCTCAGCACTCGCTCCCGCACCCCCGCCGCACCCTCCACCACCTAGATTCGGCTCTCACCCTAACACCCAGAGCGAAATCCTCCCTGACGCCTCTTTCAAAAATCAGGCACCGTCAAAAGCACTGGTCGCACCTCTGATTTTTGATTCTTTCTTTTCTTTTCCAAATTCCCTCCAAATCTTAATCCTGAGCAGCGTGACCACTTTCATAATTGAAAAGGGGCTGAGGGGAGGGAAGCAGTTTTATTGAGAGAGAAAGAGAGGAGAGAGAGAGAGAGAGAGAGAGAGAGAGAGAGAGAGAGAGAAGAAACAGAAGAAAAGAATGGAGAGGGAAAGGCTTGGGATTTGAATGGTTTAAGGCGGCTGTGGTTCCGGAGTCTCCAGTTTGGGAAATGTCAGGATTGGGCAGGGATTAAGGAGGCGCCTCCGCCGGGGTTTCTGTGCTGCTCCTCAGATCCTCTGGGCTCCCGGAGCGCGTTGGCACTCGCGTTTATTTATTAAAATGCCTGCTCTGAGCTCGAAGGACGTGGGGAGACGCGCGGGGTTTCCGAGCTGCGCCCAGAGCGCGGCGACGGCGCAAGCACGGGCGTGGGGCGCCACCTACGGGCGCTGGGGTCTCCCTGCCGCGGGCTCCGGAGGCGCGGGGGAGCCCCTAGGGACAAGGATGGGGTTTGCTGAGTCCTCTTTAACCCTCAAAAGCACTCCTGGCCTCTGCAAAAATATAAAAATAAATGATCTTTCGTTGCACCCTCGCCCCTGATCTTTGCTCTCAGAAACATCTCTGCCAAAATGATAAATGCTGCAGTCAGGTTCTCACAGCATCATTGTCTGCTGAACCCTGGGCTGTATACTCCATACTTCCTGTAAACAAAGACAGTATGTAACTGTGCATTCACTTTTAAGAACATCTTTAAAAAATACTTAATCCTTTGACTTGCACAGTATCCCTTTGCTGATAGGCTGATCAAAATAAATTGGCCAATGCTACACATAAGAACAGAGCGAAAGTATTTCTTATTCCTCCGCACTTAGCACCTAACCCTCTTTCTTATGGAGATTTCAGCCAGGGTTCTGGTTCTACCCTATAACCTGGGTCTTTTCAGGTAGGATGTATTCAAGCCTCATTCCCCACAGACTCTCACATGACTCTTCTCCCCATTAGAACCCACGGCACAGAACTCCAAATCAGTTCAACCTAAATGGATGTGGAAGAAGACAGGGTAAGGTGGAAACAATCCCATTGTATTACCTGAGATCATTATAATGTGGGGTTGTAAAAATCCGATGAAAAGAACTGTCCAGCCAAATGTTTTCTACTTCACGTGCAAAATTGTACAAAATACAAAATAGCCCCCAAATCTATTATCCTCCTAAGATATTTGCTGAAAATCAAGTGTTTTGCTTTAACATTTTTAAAACGTGCTGGTCAGATGCACTGGACTTTGCCAGGAAACTTCTCCAAAGCCATTATATTTTGCTACCATTTTTGTGAGGTTAACACAATGGAAATTGTTAATTCTTATTTGCAGATAGTTACGTTAGTCCAATATTGCATCAATTTTACAATCTCTTGTTGCCACAATAAGCACAGCACTAGCATTCCGTCATAGAGAGTTCTGATTTGAATGCAAGCATAAATAACAAAGGACGCTGGGTCTCTGGAGGAAATGCAAGGCACAGACTGAAAATCAGACCAAGTGGGAATGCTAATGAAGTAGCAATAGCTCTCACACATCTATACATCTTCAAATAACAGCTCTGTTAAGCAACTGCCTTAAAGGTTGCATTATGAGCATTTCTTCTAACTAATACGAATGCAAACACACATGAACCAGATTATTATCATCACCTTTTGGGTAATAAAAGCAAAACTTTTCCAGGTGTCAACAAACATGTTTAAATTCTATAAATAAACTGTTCATCTACATGGTAAACTCAATCACAGAATTAGAGCAGTAAGCATTCCTATATAATGGGAAAAACAGGTTTGGTTTAAATGTAGGCTTGAGGCTATCTTTAGAAGGAACTTGATAATTGTGAAAACTAGCAGATTGATAGAGATGGAACATTATTTATCTACTGATGAATTGATTGTTCTATCTGTAAGGAGACATTTAAGTCGTGATAGATTTAAGTCCATAAACATGCTTAGAACATATTTTAGAATGTCACTAGATTTAAAAGTGAAAATGTTTTCTAGTTATCACAGAGATTACTTTTTCTGCCCTATTTCCACGTTATTAGTCATCGTTACGATTAGTAGAACAGTAATAGTAGACTCTATTCAGTGTAGGTACATCCCCATAGACAATCACAATGTCAACCATTTATTGAGCATCCATTACATGTTGGATATTATCTAGAATGTAACACACAGTTTAACACCCACCATCACCCTGCAGCTGACAGATGGTCACATAGAGCTTAAGAGGAAAGTATTCTAATTTTTTTTAAGTGGGAAAAGGAGGCTGAGATAATTCAAGTCCCCTTCCTTCCATTTGTCCTAAGTATTGATCTCTAATAGAACATAAATATATTTCCCTGGGATAAAACACACCACTGGAATACATCTTCAGTGCGCATTGTAGCCTTTTCTTGCTGTTTTAAACTAATATACTATATTTATGATTTTATTCCAGGTATATGATAAATATGATCTGCTACATATTTTATTCTCTAAGATGTGAACATTATATATGTACTTTTAAACACAGACATGGAAGCATTAATAAGCAGAAATGATTTTCTTTTAATTTTAACTTTATTGGAAAATACTTAAGTATAATTGTTTATATTTAAAGTGTACATGCATTGTGATGACTGGATAGACATACACATTGTAGAATGATTCCCAAGAGCAAGACAATGAATACATCTATCACCTCACATATTTCACAGTTAACTCTTTTTTTTAATTTATGTGATGAGAATGTTTAAAATTTACTTTCAGCAACTTTTAAGCATACAATACCATCTGACTGACTATAGTCACCATGCTGTACATTAGACCCTCAGTACTTCTTACAACTGAAAATGTATACCTTTGACCTACATCACCCATGTCCCTCTCACCCCACCCCCTGGCAACCTCCATTCAATTCTGTTTCTATGATATTACCTTTTTGTTTTTTTTAAGATTCCTCATGTAAGTGAGTTTATACAATATCTTTCTTTCTTTGGCTTATTTTACTTAGCACTAGACAATACCTTTCAGATTCACCCATTTTGTCACAAATGGCAGGATTTCCTTCTTTTTAATGGCTGAATATTCGATTGTATATATGTACCACATTTTCTTTATCCAGTCATCTG